CGATCGACTTCGATGATTTTACGTTCAACACTAGGAAGAATTCTAGGAGAAAACATCCTCTGATTGTAGACTGCATTTGCGTATATCTGCCGAGTATCTCAGAGCATATCACCTTCATAACGATCTTCACTTTCGGAACAACGGGCTATCACTGAAATTACGGGGATGAAGACTTGGGGAGCAAATCTTCAGGTACATGATACAGAGATAGCCAGATTCTGACCGTTGATTTCGGTCCGATTTTGAACACGTAGTCTTGGGCAACTCTCCTTTTGCATGCATGCCAATATTAAAGTGAGGCTGGAAACCAGTTCAAGCGGAATACGAATCAACTGATAAAGACGATGGTTCCAATCATTGCAGGGGATGAAATGACTAAAGCTAATGTACAGAAGCAAAACACTTGCAAAGATGGATGAAACTCGTTATAGGGAGATGAACAGAAATTGCTAAAATGTAATTTATGTTATAATCCGATGGTTATGCTCTGAAGCAGATAGAGTATATTAATGAGCTTGTGTAATTGATGTATACCGTCAATACTTTGGCCTTCCCGTTCATCCAGAACTGTCTCCTCGGCTGTGCGATTTACATCGTGCAATTTCGTCCGAACAATTCCAGTTGAACGGAACATGGTAATGAATATGCAAAGCTAACCAGTATGCAACTGCAAATTATTATTAGAAAACTTTTAGATACATACAGACTGCGCTATGTATTTGAGCAATTTCTTTTGGATTTTTTTTATAAATTTATAACATAAAATTAATTTTAAATTTTTAAATTTTCTTTTTTATAAATTTAAGCAAAATGTTGTGAAAAAAATAGACGAGTTAAAAAAAAATTCAGAAAAGAAAGATCAAGAAATATGTTTACTTTCGTGTAATACCTGTGTTGCATGTTATTTTACGCTCCACTTTTCCTGTAGAAAGAGTCAAGCTTTTAGTCCTCAGATTCTAACTCTTTCACAACTCCTAATACCAAGTGATAATCTCAAATGTTATCGTAGATACACAAACATGACTTTTAATCGTTTTGTCTACCTCATTAATCTACTCTTTACTAAAATAATTTGAAACACAAACCCTTTTTTTCCTTATTTATCAATCATTTAGAAGCTTAAAAAATAATCAAGCAGACTGAAATTTTATACAACAGGATATAAATACATACTATCAATATATATATATATATATATATATCAATGCATTTGAAGAAAGTCTAAAATTTATATCAAGTGTTGCAATATCTTTCCAGTTGGGATTAGACAGTAATTTGCTCAGAAACTGCAGAAAACCCACGCTAACTATTAGCAGCAGTATAGACGTTCCTAACATTCAATGAGTGTAAGGGCTATGAAATATATGGTTAAAAATTATAGAAGATGGTTATCCAAAGTATGGAAATTTTTACCTTGTGTGCGCATATTACATCTACTTAATGTCAACACCTCATGCACTAATGCACTTCTTTGGCTTCGAGACATAAAATAGCTGCTAGCTACTCTTCTCTTATTTTTATGTAAATGAATCAGGTCATGGTTAAGCATAATTTCCTGTACGAGAACTACATTAGGTAAGGTAACAAGATGAGTAGCCTTTGATCAACTCCATTGGGGTCCCACCAATGGAGTCATACTTCATAAGTGTAAATATGGCCATCAGTATTCTTTTCGTGTCAAACTTCATCCTCGGTATTCGAGGTTCAACGTGATTATCTATTATCCAAAATTGAAGGAAAGAAAATTATCTGAAAACAAATTATCCCTATTTCATATCTCCTATCAAGAATAGGCCTGGATAACTTCTTGCTGTAACTGAAAATTTACATGACTTTTGGTGAAGAATACTAGACATAGAAAGCTTGGCATATTCTGATACAATGACACGAGAACCTCTCAGTCATCTCCAAATAATCTCTAAACCTCGGGAATGGAGTTTTTTTTACTATGAACTAAAGTTCATAGAAAACGGACGGAGATTGCTTGCCCAAGCACAGGGTATGCAGCTCCAGATCTTTATCATGCTAAATACATAGATCTTGAACTTGCTCGCCTTCCTCTAAGGTTTTTATTATGATTTGTAATATAACTACAAATGCCTAGAATTACGTGTGCGCGCTGTGGCCTTCTCACCCAAGATGAGGCTCCTCCTCAAATTTAAATGGATATGACGCCAAAATCATAATTTCTTTAAAATCGTTATTTTGAACGTTGTAAATAATGTACACTAGTGCTTAGGAATCTAAAGCGTAATAAAGAGGGACCATGCTGGAGTGTTCCTACTTATGAAGATATAATTGAACACAAATCTCCTCGAGATAAAGGGTAAACCGAGAAATACGAATGGAAAGAATTTTTTAGCCTTGCTTTTTCTACACAATCAGGGAGGAAACTAAAGTGATGTCGTAAGAAAGATGATTTGTATTATATAATGCGGCTTTGTATTCTGAAAACAAACCAAGTTTCAAATTGGACTAGTATACACTTAAGGGTAAGTCTGGTAGTAGAGGGTATCTGTATGGTCATGTCTCGTATTCTTTCACACAGATAAGCAAAAACAGAAACCTTACCCCACTGCCTGCCTCCACTCAGATTTTCTGATCATAGTTCAATGATATTATACTCTCTTCCTTGCTAGAGTGTTCGACTTTTTGTAGTACATCTGGATAAGCAATAACAGAAACCTTACCCCACTGCATGCCTCCACTCAGATTTTCTGATCATAGTTCAATGATATTATACTCTCTTCCTTGCTAGAGTGTTCGACTTTTTGTGGTACATCTGGAAGCTTCCAGGAACGAAAAATTTTTACTGACTTCCTAGAATCATGGTTAAAATTTTTTTATCTGATGATACAATGACTGGCAGATGAATCGAAAAAATTAGGCTGAGCACAAAATTATTCAATATTTACTCTTTTGATTGGTCCCCATGTCCTTTATGTATAGAAACAAGATGAATAAACTATGTTATTTACTTGCAACAGGTCTCAATTTCAAATTCTAATTAAAAAAACGTAACACTGAATCTAGACACTAGTCAAAACACGTAGTTGATGTCGATCACAGTTCTCAGGGTTTTTAAGACAAGAAAAAGAAAGGTTCAGTGTTCTCATCCAGAACGCTGATCCTTTAGAACGCTCACCTGAATAAATCTATGACTGATATTTGGCAAGTCCATGATTTAATAAAGTGAAGAGACCTGGGAATCCATAACGCAGTAGTTTATTGCAGGCGATTCAGTATCCATCTGCATGCAGTTGATGCAGAATACATGTAACAGATAAACAATTCTAACACTCCTTTTATTTTCAAACTCCTACGATTTTGAATCTCACTGACGCGAGTAGTTCTTTTTAAATTGCAACCATTTTTAAAACACTGAGAAAGAAGATACTGAAAGAATAGGATATAAATAATGAAGAAAGAAAACTTACGTCAAGCCTGATAAAAACCGTCATGAAATGGAAGCCGTCAAGTATTTAAAAAGACCAAAATATAGGATTTTGAGGTGGTACAAAGAACAGTTTTAAGCCCCTGTTTCTTATATTCCTCGTCACAAAACAAACAGCTTTGTTCTGTCAAGCTACCTATCATACGAACTAAACATCACATTTGCCAAACATTGTTTATGTGAGTTAAATTGAATGAGACACCTAGCGCATGTGGAAAACATCAATAAACAGTTGAAACTTCTTTCTGGATGATTCGTTTCAAGAAAATTGTAAGACCTGCAAAACAGCTGCAATATTAGCAGTGTGTCTGCACTGCGTATATCTATCAAGTTGAAAATGTCAGTACATTAATTCTCTAAATCTTAAATGTGTTCGGAGTTCTTGTAAGCTTTTCCAAGGCTCGAAACATGCATCATAGCTCAGAACTTTTTGTGAGCTTTCTTCCAATTGTGAAAGTATTCAAATAATCAAACTGCCTATAAGTAAGGATTTGACGTAAAAGTCAATCCAAAGTTTAAGTCCTCACAACTGAATTACTTAAAAGTTGGGTGTTTCGCATGATACGTATCATGTCTAGTAAACCTCTGTTGCTCTGACTTTCAGGTGGTGTACTCTGTACACTTTTATCTATTTTTATTTTTATTTTTTTTTATTTTAAACATGCCATGAGTTATCAATCAAAAACAAGAAGTTATGGTCAAAAAATGAACGTTTATCACATTCTGAGTAAAAATAGAAGTAATAGACATTCATTTTGTCTGCACACAATAAATTATAACAAATCTTTTGTTATATAGCCATTATCTTCTGTTAGAGGATTCCAAGCATGCTTTATCACAAATTAATTATAACTCCACGTTATTTTAAAGAAAAAAAAACAATCAGGTTCCATTGTAAATTAGTATCAAGCCTATTTGTGAAGTGAAAAAAGTAAGAATCTCAGGGACTCTCGATTAGTACCGTCTATTATAGCAACAAATCGTCAAGAAACCTTAGCTATTCGTTGGATGCTTGAATCAGCAGCCAAACATAAACTTTATCTTGAAAAAATTCTACGAACTGGATGGCGAGGTAGTTTGGAACTCAACTTTATGTCAAAATAAGACCAAGTTCCATTGCTTACATATCAAAGTTTAAGATTTCTATTCGAGTGAAACAATGTATATTTTGACGCATATATATTTCTAAATAAAACTAAGCAATCTTATAGCGGATTCAATAACAACATCACTAAGATTCAAACAAAAACCTAATCAATAATTGTTTAGAATTAAGTACAACATCAAAGTACTTTCAAGATAAAACAAAACAACTTTTCAAGAAGAAAACATAAAACTTAAATTTTTTAATATATGGTGGAGAAAACTGAATCTTAAAAAATAGGTAGAGTACTAACGCTCATCAAAATGTCTACTTCTAATGTACTTAATTTGTTTTTTCTTTACAATGATATGTGCAAACAAAATTTGTGAACAAAGTGTATACCTCTAGAATGTCAGTTACATTGTTTTCAATCAAAACATGTGTGAATATTAAACTCGAATGGCTGCAAATTATATAGGCACTTTTCTCTACCTATTTGAATTTTGAAGAATTTTGATAAATTTCTTTATAGCCTTTTTTAGGCCTCAGGCTAAATAGATGCAACATATATATTTCTTGGTCTGTTGCTTGAGGAGTACCAGTGGGCTCTCTCGAAATTACCTTTATGCTTCCCTCGGTGGTTCCAGTTGTATACATTTAACCAATTCCACAACTACATCTATGATTCAGTGAGTATCCTTCTAATATCATATTGAATCCACAAACTCCTTGACAAATGTCCCGACATTTTTATCCATGTGAACTGGTTGTTTGTAAAAGGATTACCTATGGTCTGAGCTTCACTGCAACAGCTTCACAGCAAATGTCGATTAGACACTAAAAAATTCGAGCCTTCGAACTCACTAATCAATTTGGCAATTCAATTTCTAGCTGTAGGTTGACTGTAAGGTCACTGGTCTAAGATCTAATCTCATTTCCATTCATGTGAAGTTCTATTCATCAAAATAGCATTCAGATCTTCTGATTCTCAGTCTTCAGGTCGCTTCGTTTTGTGAACAGAAATTATATAAGTTGGATGTAGAATTTTATTGAAATCAGTAATTCAAGCATTTTGCATGGCATTAAGTATGAGAACTCTCACCTCCGTCAGAGTATTCGAGTTTGGAAAATCCACGATACAGATAAGTTGCACATTTATCCACTTGCTCTGTATTTATTGTTCCAAATAACGAAAAAAGTCGATAAATTGGTGAGCTGACATACCATTTCTCCCGCTCGCCTTCAGATTGGACTCCGGTGGAATAGATGTAGTCCACATCTCCCTTGTTCAAGACGTAAGCGTCTAGTTTGGAGAATCCCGCCTCGCCCATCAACACTGCGACCGCCAATCACAGACAAATCGGAAATTGGAAAACGGGGAAACAAGCGTGGATCATCAAATTGACAACAAAGTTGATTTCACAGTCGCGTACCGAGTGTCACGAGCTCGATACTGCCCTGCCTTGTGCGGAACTCCCACATCGGAGTCATATTGTCGAATGCACTCTGCTTGGAACTTCTATCCTGAATGTGATCAGCATTGCGGCAGACCGTAGCGCTAATCCTGTCCGACGGCAGCCTCCTGGCGAACAATCGAGCACGCTATGGTGCGAGAAATGCTTGATAATTGGAACGTAGACTCATTCGCATTCACAAAACCCATTCATTGCCTGTGCTCTGGAAGTCAAGACATCCATCATGAGGAGGGATGGGAATTCTGTGTTTGACCAAATGGACAAACCGCTCGTCACGCCACGTGAGATGGAGAGGTTCTGATGTTCTGAGACGAGCGCCGTCGCGACGTCAGCAGGAGAAAAAATTGACACCATCGACGTCAGACACGGCGCACAAGACAAACGAAACGAGCTCAGCTTTGACATTCGCACCCTCTCGGGCTATTGACTTTCTCGCCCTTTGACTCGAGGTTCCATTTCTTATTCGGCGACGGGGTCTATCGTTCGTTCTATGCGAATTGCATCTCGCCCATTATCTGTTAACTTTGAATACTTTAACTAAGATGATTTGGAGTGTACATTAAAAGACTGAGTGGCGATTGATTTTTAGAAGTATATATATCAAATAAATATCTTGCAAACTGATCATAGGAGAATGTATAAGTATGTTTTTTTTTCAAAGAATTTATCTTGTAGAGCTTAACAACAACAATCTCTTAAACATTTTTGCATAGGTCTCACCACTTTGTAGTACGAGTTCTTAGAGCTGAAGAATAATAAAATTCAATTCAAAGTATTCATTGACAGAAAAGTAATGGTCGATTTTACTTATGCAACATTTTGATGAATGTGTTAACAAGTAAAACTAATCTTGCTAGATATCCTTCCAGTTTATTCCAAATTACAATGCGATAATCAACCTCGTATAGCTGTACAGAATTTGCCTCACATTCATCATATGAACAGTGATGTAATTTTTTGTATTGCATGGAAATAGAAGATATATTGATAATTATATAAGAATTATTTTAAACTAAAGGAATCTAATGAATGAAATATTGGTCAATAAGATTTGATATATCATATGAATTTGAAACCTTTGTCAAAAAACTTTTCATAAACGTCTGCAACCTAAATTGCGCAAATCATCGCTTTTATATTACTTTAACATGATTCGTGAATTTTTAGTTTCTCATTACATGAAAATAATAATCTTGTTCGTTGAATATACTGTAGAAGTAACTTTGGATGGCTGGACCTTTTTTAACAAGTTCATTCTACTACTTCAATAAGTTAATTAAAAAATACAAAAAAAAATCATGCAAAATCTTAATAGTTCTCATATACTAAAAATCAAATAGAATTTTTTTTAATTATAATACTTAAAATTATCTTATATTTTATCACTTGATATAAGAAATTTTAAACAAAAAACTTGTTGGATTTTAGATTTATGATTTTACTTCTATGTGTTTATATTCCAGAATTTTTAATCAAAAATTCCTTTCAGAGTTAAATTTACTCAGCAATGTATGTTTCTAAGGTAAACGTATGATATTTTTGGTTTAATTCCAGTTTTAAAAAATACTACTCAAAAAAATTTACAAGATATATGCTTTTTCATATATTCATTAATTATATTAATTTATTAATATTTAGATTAATATTTTCAATTATTTATTTCTTATATTTATTATTTAAATTTTTTGGACTTGATATTTTTTGTAAAATTCATAAAGTGATGAGTTTGTATGTTATCAATCTGTATGGTATCAAAAAAAAATTTCAAGAGAATATGAAAAAGGAAGATATGTTAGTTAAGATTGGGGAGAATACAATTGCTTTTTCTTCAAGATATAAAAATTTAAAATTAATTGATTACTACTTTTCAACTTTTAGAAACTATTTATAATTTTTTTAAACATCGTCAATCAATCAGAAAAATGATTTACTGCCCTAGCAAAAAAAATTTACTTTGAATCAAGCAGTGTCTTGCAGAGATATACATGTGCAAGAGACAAGATTTTATTTTATATTATATGAAATTTCAAAAAAAACCTTAAAATATTATTAAAGTAACGGTACAAGAGTGTAACAAAATTTGAATTTGGAATGCCAATATTAACTTAGGAGAAAGAAATGAATTATTATCATGACATAATTTAGATATTTTGAGAAAATAATTCTATCTTTACTTAGGTGCTATTTTATTTTAATTTTTGTTAATTTAGGAAATGAATCATTTCTAATAGTTAGGATTTTAGACATATCTAAAATATTCACTCTTAGTTTCTAAACAGTATGTTTCAAATAAAATTTTTCTCCATAATGAAAGTAATAAGTAATTTAATGTGAGTTGAGGCAAATTTTATTCTCAAAATGCTATTATTACTGTACTGTCAGACAAACAGAGAAAATTAGACGGAAAAAAATGCAGATACTGAGAAGTTGTGTGAATACAAACGATCCAGTTAAACGTTTTTTTTTTTATGGGTCTGACAGGGCATACATGTAACTTTCAACTGTGATTTTTCAAATTTTATTTGAATTGTTTTTATGAAAGTTAGATTAACTTATTAAAAGGGAAAATATTTGATTTTTTTTGCTTTAAACTTAATATACATTATTATGAATCAAATGTTGAATATTTTATGAATGTTCATTTCCACAAGTACCAATTTCTTGAATGTATAAGTCGTGTTATGTATTGAAGTTGTTTCATTGTATTTGTATGTAGTTTATCATTGCATATTATCTTGATTTTCTTTATTGAAAAAGAAATTCTAATTAGAGACATATAAGATACTATGTTATCAATTTTTACATGTTTTTAAAATCTTATAAGATTAATATCAATTAAGATTACAATTATATCAACCTACAAGCATGCATAAACAAGAAAAATTCTTATTTTTTCAAGATTTTTGTGAACATCTAGTTCAATTTTTTTAAATTACTGCATAACGATCATTATATGACATTGCATAATTACTTTGTATCAAAATTGAAAAAATTATTGGAAATAAATCCAGGTCTATTTTAACTTTAGCTAGTCCAATTATGGTTGGATTAAATCAATTAGCTTGTCTTATATAAGTCAACATTAGCTAATTGTAGCTGTTACTAACATAGGGTTTTGATAAATAATTAGTACATTTCCATTAATTCAATCTTTCTGAGGTTGAACCACGTGACATTTTGGTTGGTTCCTAACGATCCATTTTTTCTGAATATATCATTATGAACTTGCAAATGCATCCTAATTTTTTCACCTTTCGTTAGATATACATATTTCATTCTAAGAAGAATGTTATTTATTACTTTGATGCCAGTAAAGTTACAAGAAAAAATTCAAAGAGAGTGGATAGCAAGAGACATGAATGTGTATCACTAATCGTGTAACGTTGATATGCACAAAAAGTTTGTTCAAAATAATTCCATATGCAAAAATTGCACACATGAAAAGTGACTAAATATTTTATCCATGTAACTTTACGCGATCAAGCGTCAAATCATTGGCAGAAGTGCTTCATTTTTTCTAGAAAATTTCTTCTAGTATACAACTTTTTATATTCAAGTATTTTTGAAATTGTGGGCAAAGAGACTAGTAGCAGGTCAATAGTATTTTTTCACAATTTATTTTTCTACTCAGGTAAAACGTAAATTAAATCTCATACATGATCATGTCAGATTCACGAAGATTAACACAACAAGATTTTCCACAAATGTTACCATATTGTACATGAAAATTGCTTGTTTTAGAATGTGTCTAGTGATTCTAGGTCACAAATAAGGTACCAATACCCCATCATATAGTATTTGGCTTCCAAATTCAAAGTTAAAATTTTATGAGACTTTTTCTTTTGAGCTCTTTTAGCTTTTAAACTTTTCACACAAATTTCCATCTCTAAAATTGAGTCATTTTAATAGTACAAAACCCAAATGAACCCAAAAGGTGATTGTAATAATCTATGGTTAGTTAAATATAAAATAATAATAGTTCAAAAAATAAAATTAAAATGATTATCTATGATTGTCACGTAACTAATATGTTTTCTTAATAAGTAAGGATTGTATGTATCATTTTAGAGCAACATGTTAGCAATCCACGTGCTTGCTTGATAAGAATCTATGTGTTAGTTGAAAAAAAAATCCAAAAAACCTACATGCGTATTTGACAGATCTGTCATGTTATCCATTCGCGAAAATTGTAAAAAAAGAAAAGAGCATAATCACATTACATAGTATCTGTTGATAGAAAAGAAAATCAATTTTGTTATTTCTCATCTTGAATATTAGTTAACATCTTTGTTCTGATTTATCATAAGAAAGATGCAAGAGTAGTGATTTGTTCTCTACATTATAATGACTAGTAAGTATGTGATTTTATTGTTTATGTAAAACTACAATGTCTTTACATTGACTTGCAAATAGAACCATATGAATTGGTAGACATTGAGTAAAAATGACGGCTTAAAAAACTTGTTGAGCACTCTCAAGTTGAAGTTGGTGACAATGTTGTATTCCTCAAATCTTGTAGTTTTGTAGACTATTTACAAGAAATTCACGCATATACAAACATGTACTCTTGTACATGTTTGTATATGCGTATATGTTTGTATATATGTACCTAAACAAAAGTATATTGTTCCATGTAAATAAGATTGTTTTGAAAATATATCATAATCCTAGTTCTTCTTAAAAATGCTTGAATTTCCAAGCAAACCAAAAATATTTGTACTTGCCATTAATCCCTGCTTTGATAGAAAGCAAGGATTGATATAGGGTTGAAAAAGATTGAGACTTGCAAAAAGTTATTGCATTTCAACCACACTCTTGCACCGGCAAGTCAGGATTTTTTATTGTCCGAGCTAATAGTTGTTTTACTACCCTACAACATGACATATGTATCTCTATTGTTTGTAAAATAACTTTTCAAGTTGTAATACTCGTAGGTTTCAATATTTTGGTGTTTAGATTGACATGCTTAACGTGACACATAGCAATCTCAATCATAGTCATGTATGTATACAGAATTTATCCACTCCACATTTGTGCATTATATTGCATGCACAACAATACAACTAAATTTTTGTTATGTCAAATTAGTTTGATATGTTACTCCTCTTCATCTGATTATATTCATTTTTTATTATCAAGAATGTCAAATTCTTCAATTTTGATAGCCTTTTTCTTCACGTTTGACACGCTTGTCAATAATAAAAAATTTGAGCTGTGTCATTTAACTCTCTCAATAAATATTAA